AGTAATTCCTGGACCCAACAATATTCAACAGAACTTCTTCATTTTTAACATATTTCTTAATGAGCCTCATTTTACAGAAAACCACCAACAAATAAATATATGAAAACAGTTGCTTTTGACATCACAATGGTTAAACACATTAAATAATTCATTAAATTGTGCTTTACATCAATGAAAATTCCTAGGTCTACAAACTATCTGGTAAATAGGAATAAAAGTAGATATGGTTACTCACAATACAGTCTCTTAGTAGCAGAGTTCACACACATTATTGCACAGAAACAGAAGGAAAATTCCTAAAGAATAAAATAATTTACAGTCTATGAATATACCCTTTCATCTTAAATATGGCAACCAATGGGAAATCTTGGGGGTTTTTTTTCACTTCCAACATTTACTTGAAATCACAGAGCTAGTGATACAGTCAAGAAGAAAGCCAAAAACATTGTAGGCTATGGAAACCCTTTTCCCCACAAAATATCAACGAAGAAAGTATTATAAGAACCAAACTGAAGGAAATGTTTCAGTGCAAAGCAGGTACTTTTTCCAAGTATGCTTTTGCCACATGTAGGGAGGATAAAGCACTCTGCTCCAGCAGAATGATCTTATTGTGACTGTTCATCTCATACAGGGTAGTCTCCACCAGTCTGGAAACAAGACATTCCTTATCCCAGATCAAAAAAAGAGTAATTCTGCATATACCAGGGGAACAGCAATAAAGGGAAAAAAGAGTGTCAGTGAGATAACTTTTGTAACACCAGTGCCTGCAACTGATACAAGACTGCAGGTGGGAAACAAGAACCCAGTAGCATAGGAGGAAGCATGTGTTAATGAGAGGACATCTCGAGAAACCACATCGTTTAGCAGTGGACATCAAACCTGAAACACCTCCAGATGCAACGGTGATGTGACCTGCCATTTGGTTTGGTTGAGTGGACATGCTGCAGTTAGGAAGTTTGGCTCTGGATCTGACTTCCATCAGTTTTTTATTCAGCACTCCCGGTTTTAGTGAACTGCAAATAACCACCACATACTGGGTAGAATCCCTAGCAAAACTATCACATCCACACTAGTACCACAGCTGCAGTGAAGAATACCCAACACCAGAAACAGT